CAGGAAAGCTTGCTTCAAAAATTACTGAGATGTTTAAAAATGTGTCAAACTTTAAATCAACATGATATATTGATCCTCACTTTTCACTTCACAGAAAAATTTTACATTAATTTAATAGTTTTGGTTGGCTTAATATAACCTCAACTTCATATGACAACTGTTCAGCAATTATTAAATTCAGGATGCCTTCATAAGAAACAGTTCAAATGTGAAATTTCTGAAACCGTCAACTATACACATTCGTTTAAACTATCTTAAATACCACAAAGAGCAAACCTTAAATCGGAGGCCTCCCGACACTTCTTCAGCCACAGGGTAATCGGACATTCGCTTATTTCTTGGTCCATTCTAACACACTTCTTTAAACGTTGAACTGTCAAAGACTAATTTGAAATCTGATACTATTATGTAGATTTCCGTTATACAGTGTGACCAACTTATAAGAAATAAATTTTGTTACCTGTGCTGGTATCGTACGTGTTTGGCAAGCATGACCACTAATAACATAGGAAAAGCGCACAGGTGTGCATAAGAAAGTTTTCCTGTATCTAGTTCGTCATAATCCTTGCTATATTAATTGATGGATTTGGTTCTGTTTTTACATTTTGTTATGTGGTATCTGTCGCATCGTTGATCACATTCGCATTCGGGTCCTTGTTGGTGGTAGAGTTTCGTTTTATAAATCTTGTGATGGTAGCCGTGAACTGCCAAGCTTGTTATTGCGTGAAGCATGGTTGGTAAGCCTGTCCATGCACGATCGGTCATCGTGCTTGTGGTGTACACAACCTGCCATCTATTCTTCCTTTCTTCAAGTAGTCGCGACGAGTTCTCCGTAGATGGCAGCAGTAGTCTGTAACGTAGATCTTCCATCAAGGACGTTTCCTTTGCTAGCTCGTAGGCGTCTTGATGGCGCGTATTTTGAAATTCCAAGAGTAATGACAACATATGTATCAAAAATTATATTCTTTGAATGCAATGACTGGGAAAATTTGTGACTATTCTTGTAAAAGTTATGATGAAATATATTACAATATACTGTATTCCAGAAGGAATATTATAATATATAGTATTTCCCCTTAATTTTTAATG